TGGGTCCTCTTATGTGCAATAAGAGCTGATGGTCCACTGAAACTTTTCCCACAGTCCAAACATTTATACGGTCCCTCTCCCATGTGGATTCTCCCATGGCAAGTAAGATGTGAGCGCTGACTGAAACTTTTCCCACAGTACAAGCATTTAAACGGTTTCTCTCCTGTGTGGGTTCTCTGATGTATTATAAGGGCTGATGGTGCACTGCAACTTTTCCCACACTCAAGGCATTTATGTGGACCCTCTCCCGTATGGATTCTCCCATGGCTAATAAGGCCTGAGCGTTGACTGAAGCATTTCCCACAGTCTAAACATTTATAGGGTTTCTCTCCCATGTGGGTTCTCTGATGTACAATAAGGGCTGATGGTGCACTGAAACTTTTTCCACATTCAAGACATTTATGTGGTCCCTCTCCTGTGTGGATTCTTCCATGCCTAATAAGGCCTGAGCACTCACTGAAGCTTTTCCCACACTCAAGGCATTTATACGGTTTCTCTCCCGTGTGCAGTCTCCGATGGGCAGTAAGATTTGAGCTCCAATTGAAGGTTTTTCCACATTCCAAGCATTTATAGGGTTTCTTTTCTTTGGGATTTGTCTGCTGGGTTGTGGTTTCTTTAGAATCCTTGTCTTCTCCACCACATTCAAAGGATTCATGCACTTTCTTTCTTGGGTGGTTTCCCAGCTTCCTCTCTGACCTGTGCCAATTACTCCAGGCTTTTCTCTGTTCCAAGAACTGGGAAAAGTTCTCTTCAGCTCTTCTCAAAAAGTTCCCCTGCAGTTCCACTTGCACAGGACCTTCCCGCTGTGGATTCCCCTCCTCATTTTCACTCATTCTCCCATCATCTGCTGGGGCAGAGAGAGAATCAAGACAGGATTCATTGCCTGGGCTAGCAGCAGCGGCGGCTCCAGGCACCAGCGCTCCAAGCGCGTGCCTGGGGCGGCAAGCCGCGAGGGGCGCCCTGCCAGTCCCTGCGAGGGCGGCAGTCAGGCAGCCTACGGCGGCATGCCTGCGGGAGGTCCGCCGGTCCCGTGGATTTGGCGGTGGGTACGCCGAAGCCGCGGGACCGCCGGACCTCCCGCAGGCATGCCACCGAATCCGCGGGACCGGGGACCTCCCGCAGGCATGCCGCCGAAGGCAGCCTGCCTGCCGTGCTTGGGGTGGCAAAAAAGCTAGAGCCGCCCCTGGCTAGCAAAAAGGACAAAAGTGAAAAGCAAAGAGGGAAAACACAATGCAGTAACTGTTGGAAGACTGCAAAATTGGATTCTGCCTGCACATCCCATCCAAACACTGACAGGGAAGTGAAGTCAGGGAGAAAACTCCTGAGAGCTAACAGGATGGGTGGGAAGCCATGAGCGATATCTGTCATGATGATGCGACACCTGCTGACCAAGGTTCCCTCTAATTTTTTCCATCCATGTGTGGAATAAATTTTGTTATGTGCACCGAGGTATGTGTGGATGTGCGCCACCAGTAGAAACAAAAAACCTAGATGTAATATATATTTTTAAAAAGTTACCATAGGGATAATTACTCCAGCCAGGACAGGTTAAGCATTTTAGAACTCACTACTCAAAGAATTAAATTTAAGTGTAAGAGAAATAAAAATTATGAAATGCATAGACCAGTCAAAACACTAACATAACACACTTAGAAAGAATAAAATTACAGAGAATATATGTGCATTGCAGGAAGTGCCAAGAAGTAACACCAACACCACCACAAGTATGTGTTGGGGGGTGAGTGTGAAAGAGACTGTGTGGTGTTGGGGGGGGGGGGGGGTGAGAGAGAGAGACAGAGACTGTGTGAGCATCCTGCTGGGGAAATCTCAGAAATAGTGCACTGTCTCTTTAAGAAAGGCACTCACTCACTCACTGTTCACTGCAGCAGCTCTGAGTCCTGAGCAAGGCTGTGTTCCCTGCTCTGCGGAGATGGGGTACAGGGGCGGGGGGAAAGGGACACCCTGACATCAGCACCCTACTTGTTCCCCCCCTGCACATCTAGCATGAGGGTCCCAGGAGCAGCTGCAGGATGGAACAATGTGGAGGGAGGGGCATCTGAACACATGCTGCCAGATGTATGCGCTCTGCTAACCAGCTGGGCAGCATTTGAATTTCTCCTGGGCAGCCACACAACCGCACAGCTTACAGGGAACACAGCTGCTGACCACACCAGACCTGGGTGAGATAAGGCAGAACTGAGGGGGCTAAAACCACATTTTGGGGATTTTCAGCGTTTCCCTTCATTTGCAATATAGTTTCCGAGTCAGTGTCACTGTCTCCTCACCTGTGCGGGTGCCTCTTGGGATCTTCCTTTCCTCGCAGCACTGGAGATCGGGGACCCACGGCTCTTCCCCTGCTTCCAGCTGGGCAATCAGGGCAGGTTTGGGAATGGGGAGTCCTGCTCAGGGCGTGAAATCAGGCATGATCCGAGTGCAATGAGGATTGGGGCAATATTTGTCACAAAGAACACCGTCTTGAGTTTAAACTGACCCCATGATTGGCTGGGGAGTTGTGGGATGTGAACAGATGGGCATGTGGTCACTGAGCCCCCTTGGGAGAGGCAGATGTCTGTGGGAGGGGGAGTTGTCATACCTTCACTAGGAGTTTTCAGGATCTATGGGCTTTGGGGGACTTGCTGAGGCACACACAGCTCTGGTGTTAAACCCCTGCCTATGTCTAAACCTCCAGAGCCCAGATCCATCCCCACAGATGGAGCTATTTCCAAGAAGGGAGCCCTCCCCAGACATGGAGCTAGTTCTACGAAGGGAGGTGCACAGAGATCCTGTGTGTGAGTGAGAATTAATACAGATGGGGGCAGAAGCAGTTTATCATCCTATTACAGATGGATGGATGGGGATAAATTATCACGTCCATTAGGTCTATGGGTACATCTACACTTACCTCCGGGTCCGACGGCAGGCAATCGATGTTCTGGGATCGATCCCGGAAGTGCTCGCCGTCGACGCCGGTACTCCAGCTCAGCGAGAGGAGTACGCGGCATCGACGGGGGAGCCTGCCTGCAGCGTCTGGACCCGCGGTAAGTTCGGACTAAGGTACTTCGAATTCAGCTACGTTATTAACGTAGCTGAATTTGCGTACCTTAGTCCGAAGTGGGGGGGTAGTGTGGACCAGGCCTATGACTCCCCTATCCCACTGGAGGGAGTATGGAGGTGATGGCTCTCTCACACTGGAGTTGTGGATTATGCAACCCATTCCCCTCTAATCAAACTGCGAGGGAAGAACCTGACCAGATTCAGAAATGCAGACCCCATGGTTTCAAATAGCTGAGGGGACATGAATCCTTACCCAGCGAGGACACAGTCTCATAATTCTCCTGCATGATGTCCCTGTAGAGGGCTCTCTGACCGGGGTCCAGCAGAGCCCCCTGCCCAGCAGTGAAATACACAGCTACCTCCTCGAAGGTCACTGGCATCTGAAACAACAGGTGCTTCCCACTCAGTGCCTGCTGCCCCAGCCACAATCCCACTATTCATGGGGGAAGAAGCACAAAAATAGGACAGCTCTGGGCGGGCCAGAGGAGCAGAATCCCACCCCCACCCTGCTCAGAGTTGTCAGGAGGCTTCATGGAACAGAGAAAAGGTGAGAGCTCCTTGTCCCTCCCAGCAGATGGAGGAGGGCAGGGTTTAATCTCGTTTGCCACCTACTTACTAGGCACAGGCTGATGTGGGAAACAGAGCTCCACACAGGGACAGGAAACCCAGCACCTTCCCTTTGTATTTCACCGCAGTCTCTGGCTAGTGCATTCAGCACTCTGGTCTGTTTTCCCAGCCCTGTCCAGGGGCTTGTTTCCGGTTTCAGAAATGGGAGAATTTTCACCCCACCCCCACATGTGCCTGCTCATATATCCCAGCAGGTTTAACACACCCTGTCCCCCTCCCTGCCTCACTCTGTGTATTTCCTGCCCCGCCCCCTCTACAAGAACCATCCCCAGCAGCTCCTCCAAACACCCCCTACCTGAGCAGGATCCACCACAGCCATTTCCCTACCCCGGCCCCTGGAACGATGGGATGATCTGGAGCAAAACGGGGTTGTTATTCTGCAGCCTGTCAGGGTGAGAAGGGCAATTGTGGAGGTTTCTTGAATTAGCGTTAGTCCATTTCACACCCTGATTCCCTCCAGGCTCTTTCCCTGCAGACAGACACTCTAGACTCTGCCATGGTGGGAAAAGCCTCATCAGTTATATTACAACACAGACCTGACCCCTCCCACCAGGACTAAACCCACAAGACACTTTTAAACCCTCTTGGAACAGTGTCTCTGAGCCAAACACTAGAAAGGAGCAGAATCAAAGGAGCAACTTTCCAGACACTGTCCCCAGGGCAGCACATTCCCCCAGCAGCACAGGGACTCGGCAGAGGCAGGAACTGGCTTTTCCTCTCTCTGCTCCTCACCTTGTCCCAGGAAAGTCACGGGGTGCTGCAGAGAATGGGGCTGGGCAGGACTGGGAGCCAGGAACCTCCCTCCCCAGTTATTGCTCCTGCTGCCCCTTCCAGTCTCTCCACTCCCCCTTTGGCATGGAAGAACTGGTTACTGTCCTGCCATTCCTGTAGGTGTTTCCTCTCCATTACCTAATGCCACTGCTAACAGGAATGTGAGCCTGGCTGCATCAGTGAGGGCAGCAGCTCTGGGAGTCAAGGACACACAGGGAGCAGAGATGGGGTGAGGAGGGGCCGTTTGTGCAGAGTCACTTTCCTGTCCGGCCCCAGCACTTTGTCATCACCTGGAGTCTCTAGCTTAGGAGCTCGTGGCAGCAGAGCCCGGGGCTGGTTCCAGTCACAGCAGAAAGTCCCCCCTCAGCTGGGCATAGAGGGGGCGTTAGTGATGGTCTGTCCCAGCACAGGCGCCGCTGGGCAGCAGCTCAGTCCAGGCTCCCAGATCACAATGGAGGCAGCAGCATCTACCCCAGGAAGCCCAGCTAGCTCTAGGGTTGCAGTATGCTGAGCACAAAGAGAGACTGACACTGACCTCCTCTGCCTTAGCAATTACCAGAGCCCTCTGCTTGGGGCAGCTAATGACCGAGCCTCCCTGTGCTGCCCCTGCAGCCCCCAAGGACAGTCAGGCCAATGCTGATCTCATTTGCCATCTGGACTCACACTGGAACCAGAGAACCAGTTCAAACTGGGATTTCGTACGTGAACCAACCTGAACCAAAGTTTTGTTTTACTGACTGAACCCTAACTGAACAGAAAAAACCCGAAATTAAATACCAGTTGGACTCCTTGCCTGCTGTTGCTCTCAGTGACTCTGGTTTGAAACAGAATCCTGTACAGAAATCAGAGCAGGGCCCGGTTCAGTCCTGTCAACCCCAAACATTTAACATTCCCGAATCAGACCCCCAAATAATGACATTGTCTTAAAAATATCAAAGACTAAATTGGGAGCAATTGGGAGCAGTGTGTGTGTGTGTGTGGTCAGGGAGGGGGGATATTTGCCTTGTAAATTTTGAGCCCTCAAGGGGAAGTCCCCTGCTCAGCCACCTCCAATGCTTGTTTGACCATTTCTGGGGAAAAAGATTCCCCACTGGCTGCTAGGCGGGGCAGCCTCCTACCCCATGGGCTGGGGGAGCTGCCATTGTATCTCTCACCATCCCTCTCCCTTCTACTCTCCGGCTCTCCCTTCCCCAGCCAGTCTCCGCTTGCTCTCATATTCTCCCTCCAGCCTCCCCACAGCCCCTCTCCCCACATCCCCCCTTTTCCTTCTCTTTATCCACCCACTCAGTTTCCATCTATTCCAGCTCTGTTCCCCTGAGCCCCAGAATTCTCCCCCTGCCCCCTGGGTATTCCCTCAGCCTCCCTTCAGCAGCCCCACATCCCCATCCCACCCCCTGAATCCCTGTTCACCCCCCCTCCTGCCCCCTCACACATCCCTGTTCACCCCTCAATGCCCTCTGGCTCTCACACCCCCAGTCCCACTTCAGCCCCCTTCAGGCTCCCACCCCCCTCTGGTTCCCCACATGTCGCTGCCCCACCCCCAATCCCTCACTCCCTGCAAACCATGGGAGCTGGCAGCCAGCTTTCCTCTGCACAATGCAGGGAAACGCAGCCAGCCCAGCTGGGAGCAGCCTGGGGCATCCCCCTGCCCCTGCAGACAGGCTGCACCGGGAGCGTCTCTCCCTGGGGACAGGGAGGGGGGGCAGGTCTCACCTTCTTTCCACGTGGGGCTCTGCCTGAGAGCAGGGCTCTGGGTCCCAGTAAGGGGGAGCGGGACAGGCTGGGGTCTCTGCACTGGGAGAGTCTCTTGGGGAGCAGTGGGAATGTTCCTCCCCCGCCTGCAGCCAGGGCTCTGGGGTCCCCAGTAGCCGAGGCTCTAAGGTCTTGCAAGGAACGTGGATTGCTCCGCAACAGAGTCACTGCAGCGACTGCAATTCACTTCCTGCTGCCAGGCGGAGTGACCCCGGGAATCGCTCCGCCCGGCACCTCCTGGGTCCTAGCGAGATGGATTGCATTAGGTCTGACCTCTGTCTGTCTGTTATTATTATTTATTGTATCCTCATCCCCCAGAGCCGCCAAGGGCGGGGGCAATTGCCCAGGGGCCCGGTGTTTTAAAAGGTCCCAGGGCAGATGGGAGAATTATGTATTTTTTAAATAAAAATTAAGATAAAAAAGTTAACTAGATCAAGCAACGCCACAACTTACACATAGTGGGTTCTAATGTGTTATCCATAGGATAAAAAGTAGTGTTGTAAACCTTGGCCATCCTTTTCTAGAGAGACCATTGCCTGTTCTGCCCTGGGGTCCGGAATTGCTGTCAGCGGACCTGGTTACCCCCAGCATGTTCTGTCTGATTTTGCATGGTCTAGTTTGGCACCTTTGTGAAGTTGTGTTAGTGAATAATGTTATTGGCTGTCCTGTGAGACGTGCGGTGTTGGGTAATTCAGTCAAGCTGTCAGTCATTTTCCTTTTTATATTTTTATTGTGTTTTCTGTTTCTCTCTTCATGCAAATTAATCAATCAACCAATAAATAAATGGGATTATTGTTTCTTTCTTTATGAAAATTAACCAAATAAATAAATAAAAAGGAATGCACTGCAGCCACCTGCCCCAGACCCTCCCTCTCCGGGAAATCACATTCCCCTAGGAGCAGGCAGCTGCTCTCAGCATTAAGGAGGTGTCAAGGCTGTATCCCCACTTTGAACTTTAGGGTACAAATGTAGGGGTCTGCATGAAAACTTCTAAGCTTAACTACCAGCTTAGCTCTGGTCCCGCTGCCACCATTCCCAATGGATTCCCTCCCTGGGAAGCCTTGAGAAACCTTTCACCAATTCCCTGGTGAATACAGATCCAAACTCCTTGGATTTTAAAACAAGGAGAAATTGACCCTTCCCCCCTCCTTCCTTTCACCAACTCCTGGTGAATACAGATCCAAACCCCCTTGGATCTTAAAACAAGGAGAAATCAATCAGGTTCTTAAAAAGAAGGCTTTTAATTAAAGAAAAAGGTAAAAATCATCTCTGTAAAATCAGTATGGAAAATAACTTTACAGGGTAATCAAACTTAAAGAGCTCAGAGGACACCCCTCTGTCTTAGGTTCAAAGTACAGCAAACAAAGATAAACACTCTAGTAAAAGGTACATTTACAAGTTGACAAAACAAAGGAAAACTAAGACGCCTTGCCTGGCTTTTTACTTACAAGTTTGAAATAAGAGGGACTTGTTTAGAAAGATGGGGAGAACCTGGATTGATGTCTGGTCCCTCTCAGTCCCAAGAGCGAACAACCCCTTAAACAAAGAGCACAAACAAAAGCCTTTCCCCCCCCCAAGATTTGAAAGTATCTTGTCCCTTTATTGGTCCTTTGGCTCAGGTGTCAGCCAGGTTACCCGAGCTTCTTAACCCTTTACAGGTAAAAGGATTTTGGAGTCTCTGGCCAGGAGGGATTTTATAGTACTGTACACAGGAGAGCTGTTACCCTTCCCTTTATAGTTATGACAGGGAGAAATGTGTTTGTTTGAAGAATTGAGTGTAGTGCGAGAAGAATAAACTTGTTAATTTTACATAAAGAAACAATATGTAAATATGTATGTAGATAAATCTTTGATGACTTCATAATTTTTTTGCAATATCTAATTCATACTTAGGCCCCTCATAACCTTAATCTGGCCCTGCTTGGGCCCCCTTTGATTGCTGGCTTTCTTCCGGCAACTAGCAGAAGTTACTAGATCGCAGGCCCTGGTTCTCATGGTAGACTTTAATGACCCTGATATCTGCTGGGAGAGCAATACAGCGGTGCACAGACAATCCAGGAAGTTTTTGGAAAGTGTAGGGGACAATTTCCTGGTGCAAGTGCTGGAGGAACCAACTAGGGGCAGAGCTTTTCTAGAC